AACTAGCAATCGGTGATACGGGAGGACGATGTAATGGGGAGGGAAATTAGTCATGATAGCGACGAAGCGTGGGGTGATAAAGTATTGCTGGTGTCTACTATCGGGATACTCGGGAATTCGGGAGTCCCGGTTCATTGCCAACTGGAAATCGCCCCTACACAGTCGCTCGTGTTCGGTTTGGCAGGGGTAATCAAGGTTCCGCAAGTTTTGCTGTCGTCTGATCAGTTGCTGTCGGACTTGTTGTCGCCGGATCTGTTCCCTTTCATAATATGTTCTATATTCGGGATCTCTCAGACTTTCGCGGTCGGTAATCCAAAAAGGAGTTTCGATCGCCATATCCGGATCAACGGGACTCACTCACCCACATCATTCCTATGTGGCGGGATCGTAACCAGCCCCTGCATGCGTGCGTGTAGATGGCAAATCCGTTGATGGATTGCTGTCTTCCACGCGCGTGCGCACTGGCCACTAGTAGTTAAGTCCTAAGTTGCGCGTCCCGATGGCTGAGCAATCTATTGGCGCTTGGCCCGATTATGCATGCAACCCCGTTCCCAGAACAACCCCTCCCTGGTTATACCCTTATGCATTAGAGGAAAGAGTCATCAAATATTCGAAGAACAGACATGCATTCCCAACAATTCCCATAATTCTTACACAGGTCGAACGCAAGTGATTGGGCTAATCTCGCACAGTGAGCGCACCGACCAGATCTGAGAGAACTCAGACTCGTAGAGCGATACATGCACTGAGATGCCGAATGCCGAAAAAGCGACGAGGTCGAAACCACGCTACTCTACTGAATAAAACAAAATGAAAAATCAAAGACAACTCGTGAGAAAGAAGGCGAGATCGTTCATCACCATACATACATACATGCATTTCAACAAAGAGATTTGAGGAGACTCCCACAGGAAATCCGAAAAGTGCCGCAACAAAATTGGTCAACGTTGGAAACAAAATTTATATAGAAATGAGGGAGGAAAAGACACTGTTCCACCATATCCCTCGTCTCTCTCTCTCTCTCTCTCTCTCTCTCTCTCTCTCTCTCTCTCTCTCTCTCTCTCTCTCTCTCTCTCTCT